TTCTGGGAGTTGAAGTCCAGAGCTCTTCAAGTTCCCAAGGTTGAGAAACATTGAGAAATACTTCTTATATATGATCAGGAGGAGTCTGGTAGCATCTTTTCCAACTAACCGGTTTTACTAAAAGGCAGCCTTTATGAGCTGTAAATGGTTTGCTGCCAAAGATTAATATAGCTCTCTTTCTACAAATTAGAAATCTCTTGTCCAAATCTTAGCAGAGAAAGAAAGGGGAACAGAGCAAGAGCTGTTATGGCTTTACACGATACCCCGATTCCCTCTGGATTATTCCTTTTTTTCTGCACCCTTCCTAGCATTGTTTACTCCAATAAGGAATAGCATGTAAATATCTTTGAGCGTGCTAGTGGAAATGTAGGAAGTACAATCATTGTAAAAAATCCCTCTCGGTTGTAAGTTAACCCACCGGTTCTCAAGTGGGGCTCCTATCCCCGCGGGGACCCCAGGATATTTCAAGGGGGCCACAGGTGAAAAACATGTAATGGGGGGCCATGGCATGTGCTGAGGGGGCCACAGAAAAGCCAAATGTGTTATACTTACAGTGACCCTATTTCCTTGGAAAACATAAAGGACCAACCTGAAAAAGGGGGAAATCTGAAAGAAGTTTGTAAGGATAAAAAAAAAAATTGTTTATGTTTATAACTTTGCTTTACAAAGAAAAGTTCAAGAGCAAAACCAAGAAAATAAAGAACTGACAGCTCTCCGAAGTAAAGGATGTATGGTCACTGTAGTTATACTGCAAATGCTTTCTTGTTGATGCCAGAAAATGCACCGTGCCTGTATCTGGTAAGGGGGGCACAAGAGAAAAATAAGGTGGGAAGGGGCACAGGTGAAAACACTGGGTTAACCCCTAAAGTTAAATCACAAACCTGAAGCAGCATTTATTGACAGAGAGCATTTAATGATGTTTAGTTTGACAGCCACACCCCAATCTGAATGCTGTTTTTCACAGATACTTAATAGATTTCACAGCCGAGTCCAGACTGATCATTCCTCTCAAGGCTGACATTAGCTGTGTCCCTTTTAAGCAGCCATTCCTATTTCTCTTCCCAAAATATGTTTCATAATCTTAAATCTGGGCCCACTGCATGTTTTGCTTTAAATCCTGAGCGAAATCCTTCCCGAAGCACTGAGCAGCTTAGAAAATCTGAGGTTTATTTTTTTGTTCGATGTATAGGTCACCCAACTCAGAATAGCGTGCCCAGTTCGTTCCTGGGCTGAGCCTCATCCCTCAATCAGGTGGGGAAAAAAGGAAAATGAAAACAGTGTTTTCTTTCAGCTTTGTACTGAAAACGGACAGCGTCTGAACTTGGGTAGCGGCAGCTGATGAGCACATTACATCTTTGGAAATATGAACTTAAATCTAAATAACTAAGCTACAATTAATGCAATGGCCTGAAGAGAACATTCAGAATTTTTCAGTGGGGTTTTTTGTCCGGTTTGACCCCTCTGCCAACCTTTCTACTTCCTGCACAGAGAAGTTTTGGGGGGAGGAAAAAAAATCAGAAATAAATCGCACCTGAATGATTTGCATTCACAATCGTTAATAACATAATTTGTAAAAGAAACAAAGCCGTGCTTGGTAGCAGTTTGAAGTGACAAAGGAGTTATTCTTAATTCCCTTTCTCACTGTGGATAACTGAGTACAATGTTCAAGTTATAAGAAGTATTTTATCACAGCCCCAACAAGCTATTGTGCCATTCTGCAAAAATAGCGATCCAAGAATCATACCTCTCAGAAACTACTGTACACACTATTTTTTCAGACTCTGATTAATATTATCTACCACTTAATCATCCAATATAGTTATTTCTTTTTACCAGCTATTTTTCCTGCCC